AAGTTTCATATGTCAAATTTCAATTAAACTTTAATGTCTAGTATATACTAGGAATGAATGTTACTCTTTCAATTTATTCCCCTGTACCCCAACTTCAATGCCCTTTTCCTCTGGGCAACTGAATAAAGATGGCCAAAGTTTATCCATTTATCTTCATTTTTCTCTGCTTTCACACTGAATCTTTTTTCAGTAAATATATGCTTTCAGAGATCTTCAGTTTGGCATTGTAATATCTTAGTAAATACTTTTTTTTATCTTAAAACTTCAGATTTGGATAGTTAATTTATTCTCTGATGCTTTGTCCATAATTACTCAGTGGAGTGTGTTGAAGAAATATTTGAGTGTATGAACGTTGCATTTGTAATTACAAGCCAACTCAACTTAATTCTGTGTCATTGTTTTTGTGTTACTAAAATTATCAATGGAGAAATATTTTCAATTTCCTGATTGACAATAGAGTGAATGCAAGAAGTCCAATATTTAATTTCAGTTATTATTTCAGAGTAAATATGGAAAAGTACCCATAAGTGATGTTAATACATGTTGTTGAAAAGTTTTATTTAGCATATAAATCTTAATTTTCTGATGATATTCCAGAAAAGGCAAACACGGAATAATGAAACAGCTGTAGAATAATATATATAGTGTAATGAACCTCATTAGCACAATTTTAATCAAAATCAGAGGGTTATAAATCAGAGAAAGATTAAAAGCATTCTCGGCTCATCTGTGATCCAAAGATTATATTAATGATGTTTTAAAGTGTCTCTTATTAGCCAAACAGTTATGTCATATTGGAAGTACACATGCAAAAAACTGATGAGTTAAAACAGGTGAAAAAATATTGTGAGACATGTTGGAAAGTATTTGTAAAATAATATTGTTAACTACTATAGCAAGGTCGATAAGATTACTGAATGAACATACTAAAAACACTACACACCTCTCTGTATTAAATAACAGTAATTTTGTTATTAGTGTTAATAACCTATATTTACCTAGTACATTTTTCACAATTCTCAAAGCTCTTTTACTCATTCTCTTATATGATATTTGCAGCAACCTTATGAAACATGTGAGTCAGATATTGTAGTATGACCGTGAAGGGTACAGAGGATTGGAAAATGAATGGATAGAGACTCAATTGGGGCCATACTACAAAATAAATACAGTTTTCAAAATCCGAAGCTTGTTTAAAACATAGAATTTAAACATGATGAATCTTTTACTAGGTATGGAAGATTATGGAAATTCATTGGTCATTACTTTTAAACATATTCAATCAAGGGGTAGAACTTTTGAAAATTATCTGATTTGAATGATGGTTGTAAAATTTCCTCAAAATATTTAGAGATAACTGACTCAGAAAATATAAAGTAGCTTAAGGTAGACTTAAAAAAATTGTTTGGAACCAGTCAGACTGTGATGTTATTATTAAGGCACTAATTTTCTCATACATAATGTGGAAATAATACTATCTTTAGGTTGTGCTTAATGACCATTAGGGTTACATTATCCACATGAGCTGAAAAGTAGCAGATATCTATGGGAGGCCACAATAGACAAGCATTTGATCCTTCCCAAACAAAAAAGGTCCCAGTTAGGGTAGGGGCATGGAAGTATTGGAGACTTGTCATGTACATCATCATTATTATTCTACGTAGGGTACCAAAGGATTCCCTGCTCTCTGTTCCTCAGTCTTCTTCACAACTACAGTGTAAGGCCGAAGAGGTTGTAGGTCATGTGTTATCCTTTCTTATAGACCCAGAACTAATGTTTCCAGAAAATGGAACAGGACATAGGGACTACTCTAAGAAAACAACAGTAAGGCGTTGTTATATATATATATGTATATTTATAAAAGAGAGTTTTGTAAGCCAACGGAGGTGCCCAGACCTGTCAGAAATCCTTTAGTACTGCATCTGAGTAAGAACAAGATTAATATGGAAAAGATAGAGACGGTAATACATTCTTATGTACTTCTTTCCATGACTGTCCATTGGGAAAAGTCCTCCCTTGACCAATTGGTGTTCTAACAGGACATTAGAGTTCCATTCCTATCAAAGGCAAATTTATGTAATAATGTTCCTCTTAAAAGAGTAGTGTATTTTTTTTTTTTCCAATTTAATCCACATATCCAAATCATCAAACTAGGACCACTGGCTGGCTCAGTCAGTAGAGCTTACGACTCTTGATCTTGGGGTTGTAAGTTCGAGACCCCCGTTGGGTGTAGAGATTACTTAAAAAAAAATCTTAAAAAGACAATCATCAAACTCATGAACTTGTTTTTACAATATAATGGTTAGCACTGCCCTATGGAACCTGCTTTCTTGCTTGGGTTTAAATCCTCAATGTACCACTAACTGTGTGACCTTAGGCAAATCATTAAAAACCCCTGTGCTTTAGTTTCTTTATCAATAAAATGGTGATAATATTATTACCTACATTACGCAGAATTGTGAGGATTAAATGACTTGATATATGCAGAGCTTAGAACAGTTTTATTTATTAAATGTTTTATGACTGATGGTTATAATCTTCCGTGCTAGTATTTTTTAGTAGGGTTTTTTTAGAGTTTAACCATGAATACTAAGAAATAGCATAAAATAAAGATGTCCTATGTTCTTAGTTTTAATGTAATAGCTATTGGTGTTATAAGGTTAATAACTGCAACAGTTACTCAATTTTGTTATTTTTACCATTATTTATAAAAAGTGCATATTGAAATGGTTATAATTTAATATACAGTAAGTGCACAAGGCATGGTTTACTTCTATTTAAATTATGCAATTTAGTAGGTAAACTTCTAACTGCATAAAGTAAAAAGAAAGTTTGTTAATTTTGAGTATTTTATAGGCATGATCAAAACAGATGAAGGTAATGATTAATTTAGAGGTAATGTGTGCTGTACGGCCATAACACAAACAGTAGTTAGTATCCGTTACTTTGAGTACTTATTTGTTTTTGCTTAGAATGTATTTGTGTGCTATTTCTCTACTAATTGAAATATGAAAATAATTCTGTTGCCCTATATTCTACCTATTTTTTTGTTGATTAGAATTGTTAAGTGATGAGTTGTAAATATTATCAAATATCACATTATTCAAAGTTGAGTCATTAAATGTTAAATATTTTTATTGATTGATGATTGATTGATGTAGTGTAAATGTTAAATATTTTTATAAGAGAACAATCACAGCCCTTTAGGACTTTTTGGATAATTATTTATAAAATGTTGGTACAGTTGGATATCTAAATTTTATTGGGTACTCTTTGTTATTTGGTGTCATTGATTTGTCCTTTCACTGTTAGTAGTCACTTTACGACCTCAGGAAAGTCAATAACCAAGGTGCAATAATTAGTCGTTTAAAATAAAGATAATAATGTAGGATTAGTCACTATTGGTACTAAAACATAAACCCTATAAATTCTAAGTGTTAAAAGATTCCAGAAACCAGGAAAAATTTCTTCCATATATGCTTCATGGAGTCATATGCTTTGAGGGTGCTATGTAAAGTAACTTTCACAATAAGCCAATTACTACTTAAAGATCTTGTCTCCATAAATCATATTGGATTATAATTCACTTTATATCATTTCTTTCTTAACATTCTTTTAAAGAGATATTATGAAAGACATGGTCAATTTGACTTACACTCATGATGGAAATATGATCTTAAAAATTCTCTACAGGGTATGGCCCAGAAACCACGGAACTTCCCTGTTTCTTTTACTACCTCTATGGCTCTTTTTTCTTCAGAAAACTGATTTTTTTTTCCCCACCCCTCTCTGCTACAAAGGAAATTACTATCAAGTCTTTACTTCTCTATATGTCCCAACTCTGACCACTTCCTAATACCTCTACTGCTAAAACCCTAGTCCAGGCAGTTCCCCTTAGATCTCTGTGCTAGGCTTTCAACTAAGCCTTCCTGTCTCTGCTTTTCCCTTTTTTTTTTTTTTTTTTTTTTACAGTCCATTCCATTAAACAAGCCAGGTATACTTAAAGCATAATTTTAACCATAACTCCTCTGTTTAAGCCTTTCTCATGGCTTCTCACTAAAACTAGAACAAAATCCAAATGCCTAATCATGGGATATGCATTTCTGCTAGATCTCATCACCTATCATTTGACCTTTCCCTCCCTCCAGTAACTCCACCCCCTCCCCAAGCCTCCAACTACATTCGCCTTCTCTCTGTCTCTAGAACATGCTTCATGACCCTTGCCCTTCTGTTCACTCTTAGAATTCTTCCCTTAGGTCTCTGATGGCCTCCTCAAAACTTATGCCCCTATTCAAAGGTCATCTTCTTAGAGGAAGTCTCTCCTAAATACTCTGAATAAAATGAACTTCTCTTTCTTCCAAGTCATTCTCTGTCCCTTCATCCTGTTTAATTTTCTGTTTAGTATTTACCACTACCTGCTATTATAATAATTACACATTTATATCTGTGTTGTCTTCTCCTTTGTGTACTGTTGTGTCTTTAGTATCTTCAGACATGTCTGGCATATGGTTGGCGTGTAATAAGCATTTGTTGAACAAAAGTATGACTGTTTTCAATAATGATCTGTTTTTAGCCCTATGACTCTAATATCATCCCACCATTCCTACCTACGCTTCCGTGGTCTTTGTCTAGTCTGAAGGCTCCAGCAAAAACGGTCTTATTTTATCTCCTCTTATTTATCTCCACTTTGAGTATTGTCTTAACTCTAGCAGTTCTGACTGTAGTTATAGTGTGGCTGACTTCTATAGATAAAATAGCCTCAGTTGTCTTGGATGACAATTTGCTCTTTCCAGAGCCCACTAGGGAATAAAAGCAAATTAAGATATTTTCCTTGATTTTTTTTTTTCTTGCAGTAAAACTTCTGATTCACATGTAGTCTCAGCCTCCAAATGCATCTCTGATGAAGGATAAAATCTGAAAAGGGTATTAAAAAGCTAAACCGTGTTTCTGAGTTTACACAGGTGATGACAGAAATATAATGTACTTTGTTTTTCTTTCAGATCTCCCACTAAAGACATGGATTCAGAAGAGAAGGAAATTGTGGTTTGGGTTTGCCAAGAAGAGAAGATTGTCTGTGGGTTAACTAAACGCACCACCTCGGCTGATGTCATCCAGGCTTTGCTTGAGGAACATGAGGCTACATTTGGAGAGAAACGATTTCTGCTGGGGAAGCCCAGTGATTACTGCATCATAGAAAAGTGGAGAGGCTCGGAACGGGTTCTTCCTCCACTAACTAGAATCCTGAAGCTTTGGAAAGCTTGGGGAGATGAGCAGCCCAATATGCAATTTGTTTTGGTTAAAGCAGATGCTTTCCTTCCAGTTCCATTGTGGCGGACCGCTGAAGCCAAATTAGTGCAAAACACGGAAAAAGTGTGGGAACTCAGTCCAGCAAATTACATGAAGACATTACCACCAGATAAACAAAAAAGAATAGTCAGAAAAACTTTCCGGAAACTGGCTAAAATTAAGCAGGACACAGTTTCCCATGATCGAGATAGTATGGAGACCTTAGTTCATCTGATTATTTCCCAGGACCACACTATTCATCAGCAAGTCAAGAGAATGAAAGAGCTGGATCTGGAAATTGAAAAGTGTGAAGCTAAGTTCCACCTTGATAGGGTAGAAAATGATGGAGAAAATTATGTCCAGGATGCATATTTAATGCCTAGTTTCAGTGAAGTTGAGCAAAAGCTGGACTTGCCTTCTGATGAAAACCAGATTCTGGACGACCTGACTGAAAGTGATGGAATTGTACACCTGGAGGAAAGATTAGCATATTACAGAATGCTCATTGATAAGCTCTCTGCTGAAATAGAAAAAGAGGTAAAAAGTGTTTGCACAGAGATAAACGAAGACGCAGAAGGGGCCGCTGCAAGTGAGCTTGAAAGCTCTAATTTAGAAAATGTTAAGTGTGATCTGGAGAAAAGCATGAAAGCTGGTTTGAAAATCCACTCTCACTTGAGTGGCATCCAGAAAGAGATTAAATACACTGACTCATTGCTTCAGATGAAAGCAAAAGAGTATGAATTCCTGGCCAAGGAGTTCAATTCACTTCATATTAGCAACAAAGATGGATGCCAACTAAAGGAAAACAGAGGGAAGGAATGTGAGGTCCCCAGCAGCAGTGGGGAGGTTTCTTCCTTGACTCAAAGAGTATTTAACTTGTATACAAATGACACAGACTCGGACACTGGTATCAGCTCTAACCATAGTCAGGACTCGGAAACAACTGGAGGAGACGTGGTGCTATTGTCAACATAATTCGAACGGCTTGTTTCTGACCTACTTTCGTGTTCATGTTTGCTTAATAGGAAACTTTATTTTAAATGTCACATTCTGAAAAATGATGTAAATCATGTTAAGTATTCAGTGGTTAAAAAAACTAGAGAAAGTTTATTTTTGATTTAAGAGTTCCAAGCTCACCAAATTATTACAAGTTCAGACGATGAGCTGTTTATTAGGAATGCAACACAAATAGCTTGCAGGTGTATAACAGAAATGATTTGATGGGAATTATAATCTCTTATAGCTTCTGGGAGAAATGATTTACACAAACAAAACTAATTCTTACTATTGCAGTCAATATATTAAAACTAGATACATGAACAAGTAAAATTAAAAATGTGCTGTAATATATTTTTTCAAAGCTGTATCATTGGAATTTTTAAGTCTGTAATGTACATGACAGCTACGCTACTGTAACTGTATTAATTCAAGTCTTGGTTCTTCTCACTGATACTTAGAATGTACATCATCTCTGTCACTTTCTGGACCCCTCTACTTGTTTAGACCTAGACGACAGCAAGTGGGAAGGGCTGCCACTGGGACATGTACAAATTCCAGCAGTGGGTTGAATAGGGGTATAGATGAGAAAGGGCCAATTGCTACATACAACAGCAATTTTTCTAAAGAAGGCTAAAGTTACTAAGAATGATGCCTGGGCTTTCTCTGACCAAGCAAATCATCTGATCAAACAAATGGTCTGTGCAGGTTTATTTTTTGAGTGAGGCATGATGTGGGTTACAGAGAAAATCACAGGGTCACAGTCCTGTTTATTTACACCCTGCCTACAAAAGAGGCTCCAAGAGACGCAACTTGGGGTCCTTTGTGTGGGTAAAATAGAGTTCTGTATACCCTAAGTATTAGCATTTTGTCTCTGAACCTATAGAGAGGAACTCACATGGACAAAAACCTTTTATTCTGTTACACTGGAATTCGGATTGTCTTTGTAGAACTTCATCTAAGGTGCAAACTAAAAAAATGTGGCTCTGACCCACACTCCTTCCCCAAGGATGCTAGTAAATATCCAACAAATTGAACAGATTATTTAGATCTCACCTTGAGTGATGCTCTTTTTAGTGCCAGACGAGGCTTGGTTTTGCCTGACGTTTTCCTCCCTCTCTCCCTTCTTTGCTTCTTGCCAGTGAACACATGATGTAATCATATTGTAAACAATTAGTTTTATTGTTTTATTGTACTGTTAAATAAACACCACTGTGGTTTATTTTTTCTTTAGCTGACACTTTTCCTGTATGTCAGCATACATGTAAGTAAGAATATTATTTTACTTAGTTTTAATATGTGGATATTGGTGAAGATTTCAGTATTTCTTATTCCCTTTTATTCCCATGCTTACTGTAGTGCATGTTTTAACTGAGTTTCTTAATGTACCTTTTCATTTCTCCATCTCCCAGACTTTTCACCAATCTTTGAGAAGATATTTAGAATGTTTCAGTATTTCACTTTGGAGAACATCTGTGTTACCATTTCTTGCACCAAGATAATGCTAAAGGCTTTAATTGAAATTGGCTGGTAAAGAAAGTAGAAATTTCCATTCCAGGGAAAAGATAGTGATAAAGAGTAAGTAATAATGTTAACATGGGTTTAATTAAAAAAAATTAAAAGGGAATTGAATAGTCATCTGAGAAAGGGAAGTTTTTTTTGCCAAATATCTCATTAAATCATTCAGCAATAAGGCAAGTTATTGATATATTCACTGTTCACTACTGGGGATTAAATTCAGACGATCATCAATGATAAACCGATTGCAATGTTGTTTTCCGAAAGTGAAAGCAATCTCTTTGGGTTACTCCTTAGTGAGAAAATAATGAAAAGAACATTACTTATCTGCTATGTAATTTGATTAATTATCTGAATTTGAAAGAGGTTCTGATAAGAAATAGGACTGGACAGATAATTTCATTTTAGAATCTTTGAATTAACTTCTGCCTTTATATAGTTAAGTAGTGATACATTCTAAGGACTACTTCTATATTTTTACAATAAATTATGTTAAAAACTCTTCTCAGAAAGCAGAATCATTTATTTTTAAACACACTTTAGAATTTCTAGTTGTTCTTTACTTATACAAATCTATTTGTGCTTTTGATTTGTTACAATATTAAATCATCAGTTACCATGCTGAATCTCTCTTTTTTTTTTTTTTTACCATGCTGAATCTCTAATTTAGAGTAATATATTAATACAGATATAAAACTTAACTACAATTGCCCTCATCTCTGGATACTGAGTTATTCTTTATTAAAGTGAGAATCTGAATTATAAATATAGAACTTGATAGAGGCTTTAATGTTTTAATTATGTATAGAATCTTTAAAGTGTTTATAAATGTTTGAGTAACCTAACAGGTTAACTATGAAATTGCTATATGCGGCTAGAAGTAGCAAACCAAAGCTGACTATTCTTCCTTCTTGTAACAACTTAGATTTTCATAGACTGTACCTTGTTCATCCTCCCCCTTGGAATGCCTCTTTTTCCCTCCATCTGCCATACACGGAAACCTACCCATTTTGTCTTTTTAACATGTTATATTTTCTATTAAACATTTATTCCATTCAATCAGGTATAATATCTTATCTCTGAGCCCACAACTATTTCAGGTGTACTTTGCATAGAGGAGCACTTATATTACGGCTTAGCTTGTATTTATTTATGTACTTACCTAACTTCCCTCCCCCAATGTATTTTTTTATTCTTTTATTACTTTGTCTTCTATCTTGTTAACTATAATCCCTCCAATAGACCTCCTTACCTCTTTGCCCCTACCCAGTTTTTTAATTGAAATGCTAAATTTTAGAAGGCTGCAACCATTTTAAAAATTATTTCTATGATGCTCATGCATTTTATTAAATATGCATATTAGCAGACTTAAAACGGTAAAAGTAATTCTACTTATAAATTCTTTAGGGGAGGCACTGAATCTTTGTGCTCTGAAAAAAATTTTAAATTGGTAAATTTTTTATTTTATTTTTAAAATCACAGTTACTGATTTAAGGCAATGCAAATATTATCTTTTTAAAAGCCTCTCAATGGTTAAATTACGGTATTTTCCTTTGCATTATATGCATGTAGGAAAAAATATATATTCTGTAGAATTGAATTTTAAGTAGTAGACACAAAATAACTTTGAAATAATATCCTAAATGAAATATCTATTTTATTTTCTCTTTCTAACTCAAAGAAATAAATGGTCTCAGTGTATAGAAGCTATTCTAATCCATTAAAATTTTATTTTTATATTATTTAAACACCTACTGTACATGACAAAATATACTTCTATGGCTGCATTTTATAGTTTTTCAAAGTAGGATTATGGTTTTATTTAGAATGTATTTTTCTAGTTGACAAAGGAATACCTTTTAATCCAGATACAGATTTTTTTTTTAATATTAGGCTATTTCTTTTCATACTACCTGATTGGTTTAATAAACCTGATGTAACAAATATAAACTATCTGTAATTTCTTCAAGTGTAACTAATTCAGAATAATAAAAGAAATAGTTGTACCCTTTCATGTGACATTGCTTGTCTTTCTGGGTGCATCAATCGGCTATATTAAAAATAAATTTTATATTAGTCAGAATAATATAATTGCTGTGCTAACTTACACAAGTTAAGATCAGGTATTATTTCATGACAATATATAGCAAATAAGACCTAATAAAACTTTTTATTAGGTTTCATACATATGTTACAATTTGTCATGAAAGAATGTCCTCACTTCTATACTAGATGGCTGGTTTTATAAGCTGGTATCTTGCTTTCTAGAATGAAATCCATTTTATTTTATTTTATTTTTTTAAAGATTTTATTTAATTATTTGAGAGAGAGACAGACAGCAAGAGAGAGCACAAGCACGGAGGAGAGGGAGAAGCAGGCTCCCCGCCGAGAAGGGAGCCTGATGTGGACTCGATCCCAGGACCCTGGGATCGTGACCCAAGCCGAAGGCAGATGCCCAACCAACTGAGCCACCCAGGTTCCCAATGAAATCCATTTTAATGTAATAATATTCAAGTGTAAATCTTCTCTGCTATTATTTAATTGGTCACTACCTTATTTCTCAAAATAGGCCTTTAATTTCGACTGTCTTAATCACCAAATCATTTGAAAAGTAAGGAAACTCATTTGGTCATTCTACAAATGAGCATGAAATGACTCTACTAAAAGATTGTATATAATGTCCAGTCACAACACTTAGGAATAAGTTAACACTATTTTCTTAGCCATATATACATTTATACCTATATATGCATAGATTATCTCTAGAACAAATCACAAATAACACTTAACAATGGACATTTCTGAAGAGGATATCTGGGAACTTAGGGTAGAAGGAAGACTTCCTTTTTAGTAATTTGAATTATAGTAATAATAATTTGAATATCATGTGTTTTATTTGTGACAATTTTTATATTAAAATGTAGGGGTGCCTGGTTGGCTCAGTCATTAAGCTTCTGCCTTCGGCTCAGGTCATGATCCCAGAGTCCTGAGATCGAGTCCCACATCGGGCTCCCTGCTCGGCGGGAAGCTTGTTTCTCCCTCTCCCACTCCCCCTGCTTGTGTTCCCTCTCTCGCTGTGTCTCTCTCTGTCAAATAAATAAATAAAATCTTTAAAAAAAAGTAAATGTAATGTATACACAGTTCTATATTATTCATATAGAGACTCCTTATTCTGTTTGATGGCAGCAGGGAATCCTGTTGTGTCAATTATCGTAATTTATTTCACCAATACTTTCCCAGTGGGCATTTAGGTATTTTCCAATCATTTACTGTTATAAACAGTGTTATCCAATCAATATGTTTCTGTGAGGGTGGATTGCTAGATTAGAAATCTGTATCAAAGGAAGAGAAATAGATTTTTACATTTTTAATAAACTTTGCTAATTATTTTTTATGGAAATTGATCACTTATGACCTGAGTTGAAAATACACTCTTACCACCCACAGTCTGTGCCATTTGTCTCCTTATTATTTTAATGTAAAATCTTTAAAAATTTTTTTGCATTTAAATTTAAAGATTTTTCTCATTAATAATTCATAAGCTGTTTTTTCTTTGTCATTCTTAAAAAGGCCTTCCCACTGCATGTTAACTAATTTTAAAAATAAATTTCTCCCATGTGTTGTTTATACTACATTTTTTTTATGTTTTACTTTTAAACATTTGAACTATCTGGAATTTATTTTGTTACCATGTACAAAAGTAGGTAGAATTTTTTTTTTTTGATACTTACCAGTTATCCCACATCACTTAATAAGGAACATTGTCCAACTTTTTAAATGTCACCCTTTTTTTTTTTTTTTGGAAGCAAATTCTGGTATGTAGTTGAGATCTATTTCTGGACTTTCTATATCATTCCATTAATTTGGCAGTGTATTTTACCCCTGAAAAAAATACTTTCTCTGACCAAAAATAATAAGAGCAAAAAAAAAAATTGAATATGAAAGAAGTCTAACATTTCTCCTTATTTGTGTAAGACAGAGTCTATGAAGTATTACTAGTAATATTTGTAATGACCATGACCATAAATAGATAAGAAGAGAAAGTCTATTACAAGTGGGTCATTGGTCAAGTAAGAGCATTATAAGGCTACAATACGAATGTTCACGTCAGAAAAATGCTTAACCTGTTAATGTTCAACAGTAGCTCTCTTGGTATTTTGACAGCAGAGTATCTGGTGTGCTGCTCACTTATTAATTACAGAATGTTTAGCACCTCCGGATCCTCCTTCCTGATGTCAGTAGCACCCCACCCCCAACCCTACACTGGGACAAGCAAATAAAAATGCCCTTTCCTAACCCCTCTTCCTACTTCTCATATTTCTAAGCATCTCCCAGAAACCGATATATTCCTTGGTTGCAAACAATGTAGTAATATTGGAGTTGGATTATTATTAAAAGAAAATAGCACTTACCTTTTAAAAATAAAAGAAGAACCGTCGGTAGAGCATCAGACTTTTAATCTGAGGGTCCAGGGTTCAAGTCCCTGTTCGGGCGTCTGTGGCTTTGGGCGCCTGGGTGGCTCAGTTGGTTAAGCGACTGCCTTCAGCTCAGGTCATGATGCTGGACTCCCAGGATCGAGTCCCGCATCGAGTCCCGCCTGCATCGGGCTCCCTGCTCGGCAGGGAGTCTGCTTCTCCCTCTGACCCTCCCCACTCTCATGCTCTCTCTCTCTCTCATTCTCTCTCTCAAATGAATAAATAAAATCTTTAAAAAAAAAAATAAAAAAAATAAAAGAAGAACCGTATTGACTACAAAGGCATAGAACATTCCACTAAAAAGGAGGTAAACATGAGGGTGGGCTACAATTTAGGATTGTTTTTAAAATGATTGACACCATCTGCCTTTGCCAGGAATTCAGCCAGCCCAAGTTGATGTCAAGGATTAGAAACTTTGTTATTATGCTTCCATAAATACTGATGCTTGAGAAAGCACTAATCAGATTATCAGTTTTTGAAACCACTGTCTCATAACAAGTATTCTGTAATTTGTGTTACAATGAAATCAAAATTCAAAAAATCTCAGTGGAGGGAAACACATTTCCTTTCAGTATTGTTTAATCCTTATCTACAAGGATGGTTAACAATAGGTTAAAACACTATTCTTCCGAGATAAGAAAATGTTGCTTACAAAAGTTACCACTTAAGATTCCAGACAATGGGCAGAAAGAAAAGCAAAAAGAGCGATTAAAAAACTAACAGTTACTAAATTTATCCATAATGACGCTGATTTCTATGGGGGTTCCTGGTATTTCGTTCTTACGCTTTTTGACATTATTAGGATTCACGCTGGCACCAGGCACCAGATCCACCATTCAGATTACTGAAGAATTTCCCACTTTGACCATAAAATAAATGGGACAACTTTACTTGACAGTCACCGAGATTTACTTATGGTGATTGCTATAACACACTGAAAAGTAATTTGGAAATATTGGTATCTATCAACAATCTTCAATTATTCACAGCTTTCAATCAGTATTCTTACCATTCATAATAAATGGAAGAAAATAATCCAAAATTTGTGAAAACAAATGCATTTAGGTATTCATCTAGCTTTTTGTATAAAAGCAAATTAAAAGCACAATAATGAATTTTGTTAAGTTCTGAGGTATTATTTGGGTGAGAAATTTGTAAATATTGATGGTCATGAGACAATATCATAGTGAAATCCAGTTTAAGAGAAAGGAATTATGGGGCTATTGGATGGCTCAGTCCATTAAGCATCTGCTTTCAGCTTAGGTCATGATCTTGGTTGGGGTCCTGGGATCAAGGGCTCCCTGCTCAGTGGGGAGTCTGCCTCTCCCTCTTCCTCTGCCCCCCCACCTCTCCTGTGTGCATGCTCTCTCTCAAATAAATAAAATATCAAAAAAAAAAAGATTTAAGAATGTATACAGACCAACTATGTTTAAAAAAATCCATGCATGCCAAAAAGCAAATACATGTGAAAATGGAAATGCAAAATTTTTGCTGAGAGTTTTGAATTAAAGTGATAATTTGGGGCTTAACTGGGGTTTTTCATTATAAATATATTTAAAAATATAGACTATTTGGATTCTTAACTGTAGAGAACAAACTGATGGTTACCAGAGGGGAGGGGTGGGGGTGGAGGATGGGTGAAACAGGTGAAGAGAATTAAGAGTACCGTTATCATGATGAGCACTGAGCAATGTATAGAATTGCTGAATCACTAATATAACACTGTATATTAAGTATATTGGAGTTAAAATTTTAAAAAATATATAGAACTTTTATAATTTGAACACATTAGAAATATTCCTGTATATGATATCCCTTTCTCTTCTAGCTTTGCTAAGGCTCTTTAGAGCCTTTTACAAACATCAAACAGCTAGAGAGTGATAAACAACAACAAGATCAACTAACTGGGAACTAGAAGCCTGAATTCTGTAAGCAAACCATTTGAATCTCAGAATGTCATATTCTAACTATAAAAAAAAAATTAAAAGAAAAGAAAAAGTTAAAAAATCAAATTGGATAACCCTATAGTTCCTCTCAGCTTAGTCAAATTATGTAAGGTAACACATTCAATGGATTTGGTACATGCATAACAAATACAAGATATTTGCTTACTGTCCTTGGCTCTATTCTCTTTACTGTATCTCTGGTAAAACCTACACAAAGTTAAATTGAAATAGCCCACTGACAAAAGAGCGGGTTAAAACCCAAAACTCTGTCTCTCCCAACATTTTCACTCCTATATCATTTATTTCCAAATTAGTAAGGGTGGGACTGTAGGACTGTTAGTATGGGCCTCGATAGACAAAAAAGTCACGTTTCTGTTAGCTAAACAATATATGGCCAGGAAAAAGAGAACACCATACGTGTTTCCAGAACAGAAAAACTATGCTGGAAATAGAGGTGGAGAGGGAAGTAACTTGTTTTATTTTTATATTGCCCCAGTGTCTAACAGAGATTAGCACCTGGTATTTGCCAAAAAAAAAAAAAAAAAAAAAAAAAATGAGATGTGTAACTAAAGGGCTAGCACAGTTTTTGA